ATTTTTTCAATTGTTTCTTTTGTTTCGATTTCATTAATTTCAGCTCTGATTTTAATTATTTCTTGCCTTCTACTTCTTTTGCTGTTGTTTTGCTCTTCTTTTTCAAGGATTTTGAGATGAAGTATGAGATCATTTATTTGTTGGTTTTTTCTTTTTTTAAGGAATGAACTCCAAGCAATGAATTTTCCTCTTAGAACTGCTTTCAATGTGTCCCATAGATTCCGATATGTTGTGTCTGTGTTTTCATTTATCTCTAAGAATTTTTTAATTTCCTCCTTGATGTCTTCTATAACCCATTGATCATTCAGTAACCTATTGTTCATTCTCCAATTGATGTATGCTTTTTCCTTCCTTCTTTTATCGTTGATTTTCAGTTTCATTCCATTATGATCAGATAAGATGCATGGTAATATCTCTACTCCTTTATATTGTCTAAGAGTTGCCCTGTGACATAATATATGATCTATTTTTGAGAAGGATCCATGTGCTGCTGAGAAAAAAGTGTAACTGCTTGATGTTGGGTGGTATACTCTATATATGTCAATTAGGTCTAGGTTATTAATAGTGTTATTGAGTTCTATAGTTTCCTTATTCAACTTTTGTTTGGAAGATCTGTCCAGTGGCGAGAGAGGTGTGTTGAAGTCTCCCATGATTATGGTGTGGTGGTCTATTAGACTCTTGAACTTGAGAAGAGTTTGTTTGACGAACATAGCTGCACCATTGTTTGGGGCATAAATATTTATGATTGTTATGTCTTGTTGGTGTATGGTTCCCTTAAGCAGTATGTAGTGTCCCTCTTTATCTCTTTTGATTAACTTTGGCTTGAAATCTATTTTATTTGATATGAGTATGGACACGCCTGCTTGTTTCCGAAGTCCATATGAGTGATATGATTTTTCCCAACCTTTCACCTTCAGCCTATGTATGTCTTTTCCTATCAAATGCGTCTCCTGTAGGCAGCATATTGTTGGGTCTTGTTTTGTGATCCATTCTACTAGCCTGTGTCTCTTAATTGGTGAGTTTAAGCCATTAACATTTAGGGTTATTATTGAGATATGGGTTGTTCTTCCAGCCATATTTGTTTATTTCTGTTACTAAACATTGTTTGTTTTCCTCTTTGATTGTTTCCCCCCCCCTTTACTGTCCTACCTCCCACTGTTGGTTTTCATTGTTATTTTCCATTTCCTCTTCCTGTAATACTTTGGCTAGGATGTTTTGAAGAGATGGTTTTCTAGCTGCGAATTCTTTAAACTTTTGTTTATCGTGGAAGGTTTTAATTTCATTCTCCATCCTGAAGCTTAATTTCGCTGGATACACAATTCTTGGTTGGAACCCATTATCTTTCAGTGTTTGAAATATGTTATTCCAGGATCTTCTAGCTTTCAGAGTCTGTGTTGAAAGATCAGCTGTTATCCTGATTGGCTTGCCCCTAAATGTAATCTGCTTCCTTTCTCTTGTAGCTTTTAAAATTCTCTCCTTATTCTGTATGTTGGGCATCTTCATTATAATGTGTCTAGGTGTGGATCTCTTATGATTTTGCACATTCGGCGTCCTGTAGGCTTCTAGGATTTGGGATTCTGTCTCATTCTTCAAGTCTGGGAAGTTTTCTTGTATTATTTCATTGAATAGACTGCTCATTCCTTTGGTTTGGAGCTCTGTACCTTCCTGTATCCCAATGACTCTTAAGTTTGGTCTCTTAATGTTATCCCATATTTCTTGGATGTTCTGCTCATGGTTTCTTAACAGTCTTGCTGAGCTGTCTATGTTCTTTTCCAGTTGAAATACTTTGTCTTCATTGTCTGATGTTCTATCTTCTAAGTGTTCTACTCTGTTGGTAGTATTCTCCATTGAGTTTTTAAGTTGGTTTATTGCTTCCTGCATTTCTAGGATTTCTGATTGCTTGTTTTTTATAACCTCTATCTCCCTGTATAGTTGATCCTTTGCTTCCTGGATTTGTTTGCGTAATTCGTTGTCGAAGTGATCTTTCATTGTCTGATTTTGCTGTTTAATGTCTTCCTTGATACTCCAGATCATCTGAAGCATGTATATCCTGAATTCTTTATCTGACATTCCATCTGCTGCAGCTGTTACCTCTTCTAAAGTTGCGTTGACCTGCATTGCTTGTGGTCCTTTCTTTCCTTGTCTTTTCATACTGCTTGCGTATCTTTCCTGCAGGTGCGGGCGGCGGCTCTGCTCTCTCCTTATTCCAATTGGGGTGTCGTGGCTACCACGCCGGCAGGTCACTGGGCCTGTTCTGGGAGCTGGTGGCGGCTCTGTTCTGCCCCTACTCCAATTGGGGTGACGTGTCTGTCGTACCAGCAGGCCACTGGGCCTGTCCTGCTGGTCGGTCGCAGATCTGCCCACCTTTCGGGCACGAGTGGAGGCTCTGCTTTGCCCCTACTCCAATTGGGGTGTCGTGACTACCCCGCCTGCAGGATGCTGGGTCTGTTCCTGGCAAGGGAGGCGACTCTGCTCTGTCACTACTCCAATTAGGGTGGTATTTGTACCCCGCCGGCAGGCTCCTGGGCCTGATCCGCAGGTCTGTTGTAGGTCTGCCTACCTTGAAGGCGCGGGCGGCGGATCTGCCCTGCCCCTCCTACCACGCCTGCGGACCCCTGGGCCTGATCTGCAGGTTGATCACTGGTCTGCTCACCCTGCGGGCACGGGTGGCGGTTCCGCTCCACCCCCACTCCAATTGGGGTCACGTGACCACCACACCGGCAGGGCCTGATCCGGGCGTGGGATAAGGATCTGCTCTGCCCCTACTCGAGTTGGGGTGACGTGTGTACCACACTGGCAGGCCACTGGGCCTGACCCGCCAGGCTGTCACAGGTCTGTTTACCTTGCAAGCGCGAAGGGCGGCTCTGCCCTGCCCCTCCTACCACGCCCATGTACTACTGGGTCGTGGGTCTGCCCACCTGGCGGGTTTGGGTGGCGGCTCCGCTCCGCCCCCTCTCCAATTGGGGTCACGCGGTCACCACGCTGGCGAGCCGCTGGGCCTGCTCCGGGGGCTGGCGGCGGCCCGGCTCCTTCCCTCTGGCTCGAGGACAAATTGAGGAGACTCGGGTGACTGAGCCTCACCCCCCTTACCAGGAGACCAACTGCTTATGTCACCGCTGGTATTGATGAAGATCTCTCCTCCACCGCTTTCTGCTGACATCAGATCTCTGCCATGTTGGTATCCTATGCGAATGGCAGCATTTCGTTCCCCTTGCCAGGCAACCCAAGCAATGGGTGAGTCCTGACCTGCCCTCAGCAGGACCCGGACCGAGACACAGTTTCCGCGGGCTCCCAGCCCCGGTCCAGGGAAGTTCCGGGAGCCGGAACTCGGCCGCTCCGTGCTCGGTGTAAGCTCCTATAAGTGTAGGCTCCAAGAAGCAGCCCCCGCGGGCTCAGTTCCGGGAGCCGGAATTCGGCCGCCTAGTGTTTGGTGTATGCTCTGATAGTAGCAGGGTCCAAGAAGCAGCCTCCGCGGGCTCCGCAGCCCTGAGCCAGGGCGGTTCCGGGACGGTTCCGGGAGCCGGAACTCGGCCGCTCTGTGCTCGGTGTAAGCTCCTACAAGTGTAAGCTCCAAGAAGCAGTCCCCGCGGGCTCAGTTCCGGGAGCCGGAACTCGGCCTCTTGGTGTTTCGTGTTTGCTCTGATATTAGCAGGGTCCAAGAAGCAGCCTCCGCAGGCTCCGCAGCCCGGAGCCAGGGCGGTTCCGGGACGGCTCCGGGAGCCGGGACTCGGCCGCCCCGCGCTCCGTGTTCACTCCGATAAGATCAGATTTTAAGAAGCCCCCAGGCGCTGAACCCTAGCAATCTGTCTGCAAGCCGCAGGCGAATTGCAGCCTGAAATTACCTGTTCTATGGCTGAATGAGCTGCGGTCAGTCAAAAACAGGTGTGGTGACGTCAGTTTACCAACATGGTGGCTGCTGGCCTCCTCTGTGGTCTGACCGGTGTGGAGAACCGAGATGGACCGCTTCCTTCCCCGTCTCGAACCCAGAATTCAGCCCTGAGTGCGGTGCTTGCGCGTCTGGCAGAAACTGCAGCGCTGTAACCCTGCGTCTCTATCCCAGCGCGCCTTGCAGACTCCAGCCGCGGGGCGATTCGCTGAATAAGCAGTTTTACCCTCCGTGCGACAAACCTCTCGCGTTTGAGTCCCCGTAGCCGATCCTCATGCGATGGAAATCCTTCCTCCAGGTTCCGGCGCACCCCACTATTGCTGGAAATTCCCAACAAGATATCCTTCAGCCGTCCTGACTTGTCACACTCCCACACAGTGAAGCAGCACACGGGGGTAATGCACTCCCCTCGCCGCCATCTTTAAAACACTCTTTTGTAGAAATGTCTCTGATATGCCATCTTTTCTAAATGTGTACATACACACATACATACACAGATACATATGTGTATAGCTAGAGACCAGCTCTTCCTGAGGAGAAGGTATAATGTTTGAGGAGGTATTAATGTTTGGAGCAGTACTAACACAAGTAAAAATAAAATTTATTTCATGTCTAAAGAACAGATGTGATATTTTAGTGTACTTCTGTGAAAATTTCAAGAAAGTCTGGGCCTTTCTTTTCATCATAAGTAAATTTATACTAGGTGTTAATCATAAACAGGATTCTGCCTTAATAGACAGTTATCCTCTGAGTGTGTATTTTCCATGCATTTAAATTTTGCTTCCTCATCATATTTATTCTGTTTATGATGAAGTTCTTAGGTTAATATTAGTAATGTAACTTAATAGTGCCTTTAACTAAAAATTTCTTTCATTACAGATTAATTGAAAGGGTTCTTTAACATAAAATTTATGAGTAATCTGTAAATATTGGGGCATGCACATTTTTATTCCTTACTATTATTTTCTCAATTTACATCATTCCTATCTCAACTTGTAATATGAATTCAAAATTGAGTTTTTTTACTTGGTCTTTTAATCTTACAAATATTATAAACAAGTGTGTCAAGCTTTTTATTATGAAATAGTCTCTAAGATCTATTTATGTGTCTTAGGATATTGGTGCTGGAAAAGGCAAATACTATGCTGTCAATTTTCCAATGAGAGATGGTATAGATGATGAATCATATGGGCAGATATTTAAGCCTGTAAGTATTAATTATTTTCAAAATTGAAATGGAATTTTAAGTATTATTAGAGATGTGTTAATATTTGTTTATTCTGTATATAGATTATCTCAAAAGTGATGGAGATGTATCAGCCAAGTGCTGTGGTATTACAGTGTGGTGCAGACTCATTGTCTGGTGATAGGCTTGGTTGCTTCAATCTAACAGTCAAAGGTAAGAAATTTAGATAAGTGTATTCCCCTCAAAAAATTTCTCCTTCCCAAGAATTTCACCATAGAAGTTCCCATTTTACTTTTCACCTGACATTTTAACACCAAAATGGGTGCTTCTTATCTGGGGTGTGTATATGACTTCAATTAACCTTGTTTCAATTAAGTGTTTTTTATTTTATCATTTATGCATGAATAGTTTCATAAGGCTTGCTGCCATTCCAACTGAAGCAGTTATTTCCAGTGTTTTTGATGATTATATTTTGGTTTCACCTTCTTCCAGATAACTTAATTAGATTTTTAATTTTAGCCTTTTATATTGATTTACCATTATGAAAAAAGAGGATTTAACTCTCTTCACTTCTTTGTTCCCATCATACATGAATTCTTCCCTTATCTCCCTTTTACATACTAGAATATTGGTTGTGATAATCAATAGTTACAGCAGCAACATCTTTTCGCCATATCTGATTTTTATTTCCTTCATAGCTCAGTTTTGCTAAGGTTTTTTTAGTTGTCTCTTTACTCATTATTAGGCAACCAATGTCTAAATATCTTCATATGTTCAGATGCGTCAAGTATTCTATCACTTTTACCTTCCTATTTGGACTGAGTATCCTATACAGATCCTGATTGCTTTGTCTTCTGGCTTCCTGAGAAAAGGTGTGTGGGAAAGGAGGAATGTTACACCAATTAAATTTTGATCAAATGTTGAAATCAACATGATTAAATCTAGGCCAGACCAAAATAACCATTATGGAATGAATGTCTAGTGTCCATTTAATAGACTCTTAAAATGTATGTGACTCAAATGATTTGTCATGCAGATCATATGAGATTTTGGAGTTTTCTCTCCCATGGGAATGTTTAAGGTAGCAAGTTGATATTCTGCTTTGAATTCTGTCATAAGTGGTGAAGAGTTCTCAAATAGAACTTTTCCAGAATGATTGCTGGCCTAAATTTTACTGAATCATCAAATATAGACATTAAAAACTACTTTACCTGATGTTATGCTTGCTACTGTACTTGGTAGGTCAACAATGGTTTAATAACAGCAATTTCATATTGTTGAATTTAAAGTGTTAATAACCATCTGTTGCCTCAAAATGGATATGTGCTTCCTAAAGTGAACGATATGTTTTTTTGGTACTGTGGACCAAATAACTTAGGGCCTTACACATGCCAGAGAAGCACTGACCTATGCCTTCAGACCCTTTAACATACATACTTTTAAAATTTGGATTGACTTTCAGAAAGTCTTTAAAATAATGCTTTGATAATAAAGCATAGCATGTTACTCTTAAAATAATAAATGTACATTGTATTTCAACTGATAGCATTTTCATTTGTATAAAGCTTATAAGAATATTTGCAATTGCAGGTTTTAAATATGATTGTAAATTTCTCTACTGCCAGAATCTATTTGGATTTCTCAGGTCTCCTAAAGTTGTTTCCTCTTGTTCATCTCCCTTCTGCCTTCATTTATACTCTTGGTGTTGTGTTCTCTCCCATTTATTTTCAAAAATTTTAGCCTTTTAAAAATCCCTTTGCAGTCATTTTTGTCTGGTTTTGGGATGAAGGAAAGTAAATGTTTTATTTATTTTCTCTTTAAAAATATCCAGATATCCAAATATCCAGATTATAAGAAGCCTTTGTTTTTGTTGTAGTAGCAATTAAGATTGGCTTGTGAATCATGTAATACATCTACTAAAGAATGCTTAATAAAAATAGTCGTTTTACAATTACCTGAAGAGAACAGCAACTAAACTTTATAAATAAATGTCTTTGGATGATGAGGTTGTAGGTAGTTAGTATTTTTCTTTGTACCTTATTTTCCCAAATATTCTTCAAAATGCATGGATTTCTTTTATAATTGAGGAACTCTTTTCCTTACTTTATGATTATGTGCCTAAAGAAGTTACTTTTAACTTGTAAATTATTGAACCATGCATGATATTTGTTCACAGGAAATATTTAGCTTTTATGTTAGGTTTATAATCTCATTATTTAAGAAAATTATGCAAATTTCCACTATCTAAATAAAACTTTGATTAAACTTTGTGTTATAACCTTCCAAATATTCTATACATATATGCAGGGGAAAGTGGAAACAAAAGTCAGTTCAAGCCTGGGGTGGTGGCACACACATGTCTGTAATCCCAGTGGCTTAGGAGGCTGAGGCAGGAGAGTCACAAGTGCAAAGTCAGCCTCAGCAAAGGCAAGGCACCAAGCAAACTCATTTGAGACCCTGTCTCTAAATGAAATACAAAATAGGGCTGGGGATGTGGCTTGGTGGCCGAGTGCCCCTGAGTTCAGTCCCTGGTACCCAAAACAAAAAGTCAATTTGGATTGTATATAATGTTTTATTATAGCCTGATTTCCCCCTCCCCCATATAACCACAAGTGAACATTTGTGTTTTAAAAATCTTATCTCCTCCCCCCACCCCCTATACTAGGGATGAAACCCAGGAGTATGCTACCTCTGAGTTATATACCCAGCCCTTTTTATTTTAAACAGGATCTGATTGAGTTGCCCAAGCTGGCCTTGAACTTGTAGTCCTCCTGCCTTAGCTTCCCAAGTCACTTGGCCGTACAGACATGTGCCAGACTGCCCAGTACATATTTGACTTTTCTATCACAGACATTTACTAAAGATACTCTCATTTATTATTATGTGTAAGGAAAGTGATTAGCAAGGAGTTTTAGACTAGAAATTTCTCAAATTTTTATTCTTTAAAGTATTTAAATTCAACTCACTTTGGTTAAGCAAAATTTTGTTTGCATTTACTACTGTTGTAAGGTTCATTTTTCAAACTGTTAGAGTAGGTGGATTTTGTTATTACCCAAATCTTTTTTGTCTTAGGTCATGCTAAATGTGTAGAAGTTGTAAAAACTTTTAACTTACCATTACTGATGCTTGGGGGAGGAGGATACACAATCCGCAACGTTGCCCGATGCTGGACATATGAGACCGCAGTTGCCCTTGATTGTGAGATTCCCAATGGTAAGTATTCACACTGCAGGATATGTATTGTATGGACTGTCAGTACAAATAGATGAATGAATGATTATATTCCAAAATTATATAAATTAGATAGCATTTACTTTACGTTCACTTTTGAACATTTTCTATGGAAATATTTCCTTACCTGTATCTATATTCTACGTATGATTTTTGTAAGGAAACTGAACTTTTAATTATGTAACTTTATTTCATTGTTTTTAATAGAGCTGCCATATAATGATTACTTTGAATATTTTGGACCCGACTTCAAACTGCATATTAGTCCTTCAAACATGACAAACCAGAATACTCCAGAATATATGGAAAAGATAAAGTAAGAAATCTTTGAATCATTTTGCTAACAATTTCATCTTGACAAAAGCTTTGGAAGAATAATTAGAGTGGATTTATTCTAATTTATACATTAGAAATTTCCTTTGTTATCTTGAAAAGGGTTTGAAACATCAGGATTACTGATTTAATTTCTTAATTTGATGGAAAGGTATGAGCTTCATAGATAAAAATATTTTCATCATTTTTTAATTGAAAAACATTTTAACATTGCAGGGGGCACTCTTAAGTTTCATTTACATTATTATCAGACACGTTTTCTCAAATCTTTATCTCCATATAGTGTTCAAGAGACATAGTAGTACACAGGTATTGGTTCCTCTTTACCAAAGACTAGCCATATGACATTAGATAGGTCCATTTGACTTTATGTTTATGTTGCCTCATCACGGAAATGGGGGATAAAACAGTATCTGACTGGTAAGTTGTGCAGATTAAATACATGCAAAGTATTGATGCTTAATGTTGGTATATATATATATATATATATATACCAACAGTAAGCATCACTACTTTGCATGTATTTAATCATGCCACAACTTACCAGGCAGATAGCTGGTTTAATCCCCCAGTTCCGTGATGAATTGGCAAACATAAACCTAACAGAGTCAAATGGACCTATCTAATGTCATAATGTCTAAGTCTTTTGGGTAAAGAGGAACCAATACCTGTGTACTACTTATGTCTCTGGAACACTATATGGAGCTAAAAGATTTGAGAAAACGTGTTCTGATAAATACATGTAACTGAAACTTAAGAGTGGCCCCCTGCCAATGTTGAAAATGTTTTTCAATTAAAAAATGGATTGACAATATTTTAATCTATGAAGCTCATACTCTTTCCATCAAATTAAGAAATTAAATCAGTTAAATCCTGATGTTTTTGCAAAACCACTTTTTCAAGATACCAAAGGGAAATTTCGAATGATATAAATTAGAATAAATCCACTCTAATTATTCTTCCCCCCCACTGCTTTTGTCAAGATGAAATTAGTTAGCAAAATGATTCAAAGATGTCTTACTTTATCTTTTCCATTATATTCTGGAGTCTTCTGGTTTGTCATGTTTGAAGGGACTAATATATGCAGTTTGAAAGTCGGGTCCAACAATTACTCAAAGTAATCATTATATGGCAGCTCTATATAAAACAATGAAAAAAGTTACATAATTTAAAAGTTCAGTTTCCCTTACAAAAGTCCATACGCTAGAATATAGAATACAGGTAATAAGGAAATATTTCCATAAGAAAATGTTCCAAAGTGAACGTAAAGTAAAAGGCTATCTAATTTATATAATTTTGGAATATAATCCATTCATTCATCGATTTGTAACTGACAGTCCATACAATACATATCCGGCAGTGTGAATACTTACCATTGGGAATCTCACAATCAAGGGCCAACCTGCGGTCTTCATATGTCCATCATCGGGGCAACGTTGCGGAATTGTGTATCCTCCTCCCCCTAAGCATCCAGTAATGGTAAGGTAAAAGTTTTTACAAACTCTCTACACATTTAGCATGACCTAAGACAAAAAAGCTTTGGGTAATAACAAAATCCCAACCTACTCTAAACAGTTTGAAAAATGACCCTTACAACACGTAGTAAATGCAAACCAAATTTTGCTTAACCAAAGGGAGTGAGTGAATTTGAAAATACTTTAAAGTGGAATAACAAAGTTTGAGAAATTTTCTAGTCTAAAACCCCCACCCCCCCCCCCCCCCCCCCCCCACCCCCCCCCCCCCCCCCCCCCCCCCTGCCCCCCCCCCCCCCCCCCCCCCCCCCCCCCCCCCCCCCCCCCCCCCCCCCACCCACCCCCCCCCCCCCCCCCCCCCCCCCCCCCTCCCCCCCCCCGGGCCCCCCCCCCCCCCCCACCCCCCCCCTGCTAATCACTTTCCTTACACATAATCATTAAAATGAGAGTATACTTTAGTAAATGTCTGTGATAGAATAAAGTCAAATATGTACTGGGGCAGTCGGGACCATGTCCTGTACGGCCAAGTGACTTGGAAAGCTAAGGCATGGAGGAACTACAAGTTTCAAGGCCAGCTTCGGGCAAACTCAAATCAGATCCTGTTTACAAATAATAAAGGGCTGGGTATATAACTCAGAGGTAGCATACGCCTGGTTTCATCCCTAGTATAGGGGGTGGGGGGAGGAGATTGAAGGATTTTTAAAATCACAAAAATGTCTCACTGTTGATGGTTATATGGGGTAGGGGGGAAATCAGGCTATAATAAAAACCTTATAATACAATCCAAATTGACTTTTTTGTTTGTGGGTACCAGGGACTGAACTCAGGGGCAGCCTCGGCCACCAAGCCACATTCCCCAGGCCCAGTTTGTATTTCATTTAGAGACAGGGTCTCAAATGAGTTTGCTTGGTGCCTTGCCTTTGCTGAGGCCTGACTTTGGCACTTGTGGACTCTCCTGCCTCAGCCTCCTACAGCCACTGGGATTACAGACATGGGTGTGCCACCACCCCAGGCTTGGAACTGACCTTTTTGTTTACCACTTTCCCTGCCAGATATGTATAGAAGATTTGGAAGGGTTATACAACACAAAGTTTTTAATCCAAGTTTCTATTTAGATCGTGGAAATTTGCATAAATTTCTTAAATAATGAGATTATAAACCTAACTAAAAGGCTAAATATTTCCTGTGAACAAATATCATGCATGGTGTCACTAAATTTACAAGTTAAAAGTAACTTCTTTAGGCACCATATTCATAAAGTAAAGGAAAAGAGTTCCTCAATTATAAAAGAAATCCATGAATTGTGAACGAATCATTTGGGGAAAATAAGGTACAACGAAAAATACTAACTACCTACAACCTCATCATCCAATAGACAATTTATTTATAAAGTTTAGTTGATGTGTCTCTTCCCGGTAATTGTAAAACGACTATTTTTATTAAGCATTCTTTAGTAGTATTGTACTTACATGGATTCACAAGGCCAATCTGAAGTGCTACTACAACAAAAAAACATAAGGCTTCTTAGAATACTGGATATTTGGATCTCTGGATAGTTTTAAAGAGAAAAGAAATAAAACATTTACTTTCCTTCATCCGCCAACCAGACAAAAAAATGACTGCAAAGGGATTTTTAAAAGGCTAAAATTTTTGGAAAAAAAATGGGAGGAGAACACACCACCAATAGATTTATAAATGAGGCAGAAGGGAGCTGAACAAGAGGGAAAACAAACTTTAGGAGCACTGAGAAATCACAAAATAGATCTCCTGGCAGAGTAGAGAAAATTTACAATTCATATTTAAACCTGCCAATTGCAAATATTCTTAACGCCGTTATCCAAAATGAAAAAGGCTCATCCAGTTGAAATTACAATGTACATTTATTATATTTTAAGAGTAACATGCTTATGCTTTATTATCAAAGCATTATTTTAAGGACTTTCTGAAAGTCAATCCAAAATTTTAAAAAAAAGAAAAAAAAAAAAGTAGTTATGTTAAAGGGTCTGAAGGCATAGGTCAGTGCTTCTCTGGCATGTGTAAGGCCATAGTTATTTGGTCCCACAGTACCAACAAAACAGATCGGTCACTTTAGGAAGCACATATCCATTTTGAGGCAACAGATGGTTATAACACTTTAAATTCAACAATATGAAATTGCTGTTATGCAAAACCATTGTTGACCTACCCAAGTACAGTAGCAAGCATAACATCCGGTAAAGTAGTTTTAATGTCTATATTTGATGATTCAGTAAAATTTTAGGCCAGCCATCATTCTGGAAAAAGTCTATTTGCGAACTCTTCACCACTTATGACAGAAATTCAAAGCATGAATATCAACTTGCTACCTTAAAACATTCCCATGGTGAGAGAACCAAACTCCAAAATCTCATATGACTCTCGCATGACAAATCATTTGAGTCACCATACATTTTAAGAGTCTATTAAATGGACACTAGGACCATTTCATTCCATAATGGTTATTTTGGTCTGGCCTAGATTTAATCATGTTGATTTCAACATTTGATCATAAATTTTAATTGGTGTAAACATTCCTCCTTTCCCACACACTCTTTTCTCCGGAAGCCAGAAGACAAGCACTCAGGATCTGTATAGGATACTTCAGTCCAAATAAGGAAGGTAAAAGTGATAGAATACTTGACGCATCTGAACATATGAAGAATATTTAGACATTGGTGTGCTAATAATGAGTAAAGAGACAACTAAAAAACCTTAGCAAAACTGAGCTATGAAGGAAATAAAAAATCACGATATGGCTGAAAAGATGTTGCTGCTGTAACTATTGATTATCACAACCAATATTCTAGTATGGGTAAAAGGGAGATAAGGGAAGAATTCATGTATGCATGGGAACAAAGAAGTGAAGAGAGTTTAAATCCCTCTTTTTTCATAATGGTACAAATCAATATAAAAGGCTAAATTAAAAATCGAATTTAAGGTTATCTGGAAGAAGGTGAAACCAAAATCTAATCATCAAAAACACTGGAAAATAACTGCTTCAGTTGGAATGGCAGCAAAGCCTTATGAACCCTATTCATGCATTATAATGATAAAATAAAAAAAACACTTAATTGAACATCAGGGTAATTGAAGTCATATACACACCCCAGGATAAGACGCACCCATTTTGGTGTTTAAAATGTCAGGTGAAAAGTAAAAATGGAACTTCTCTGGTGAAATTCTTGGGAAGGAGAAATTTTTTGAGGGGACTACACTTTATCTAAATTTCTTACCTCTGAACTGTTTAGATTGAAGCAACCAAGCCTATCACCAGACAATGAGTCTGCACCGACCACTGTAACCCACAGCACTTGGCTGATTACATCTCCATCCTTTTGAGGATAAATCTATATACAGAATAAACAAATAATTAACACATCTCTAATACTACTTAAAATTCCATTTCAATTTTGAAAAGAATTAACTACTTACCGGCTTAAATATCTGCCCATATGATTCCATCAATCTATACCATCTCTCATTGGACAAATTG